ATGAAGTGATTGATATGTGGGGTTTAACGTCCCAAAACCACTCCTGAATAAATTGAACACGCCTAAAGAGATTCCCGAGAGGACAGAATCGGAAGGGATGCTCGTTCTACATATTGTACTGGCACAACCAATGCATCGGAAAATTTCAATACTGACATACCAATATATTTTTAAGAATACCTGAATGCAGAAATACAGATACTCTAAAGTACGTATGACATTTTTGGAATATTGCCAAGCCCTGCCACATTATTATCGTTATTGTGAGGCGTAACACCCCAACAATAAGTCAGTAATTTCATTTTCACTCCGCCTGAACAAAATTTACTATCAGTCTCCACGTACCTTGCCAGGCAGTGCGTCTGCAGAATAAACAACGGCTGTTTTAGAATAGGCAGTTGGCTAGTCATAGAGAAAAGAAAGATAAGTGCAGTATGTTGCATTACATTTTAGAAGCCAGAATAGAAAGATGTTGAGAGCACCTTCTCACCGGGCTGGTACGCTTCAGCTCAATTGCGCATGCACTGCTGACGCAGCAGAATTAAAGCAATGAAAGCACCTAGAAAGCGAGCTTCGTGGCACCCAGCTGCCACCAGGTGACGGACGAGCAGCAAAACATTTGTGCCGATCTAGAACAAAGGGGCTGTGATGGTCGCCTGTTGTGTGACCAGGTGATGCTTTCATCATCATTTCAACCTTACTGTGATTCTATTCAAAATACCCAGCTTAGTACTTAGCTAAAAGGAACACTAAAAAAGTCACAGCTTTGCCAGAAAGGCGAAGCAAGGAACGCGATAGCAACCAATTGAAAGGTCACGCTCAGAATGGAAAGCAGATCAAAACATGCCTCGCGTTCATCACGCACAAATCACGCACAAAACGTACTCACAGGTAAGGATGCACGAGAGTAAGCGTCTCATTTGTTACTTTGCTGTGTCCGAAAAGCGCGCGTTTCGCAAACGAAGACTGCATTGATTGCAGTGACATTTGTCCACCCGGTAACTACAGCAAAATCGTTCCAGGTAAAGTCCGAGGCCAGCCAAGGCGTACGACTTTCCTCTCCTCGCCCCCACGAGATAAGGGCGCTTGAGGGAGTATCGCTCCCCTTCTCTAAGCCGAGCAAAGTACGCGTAGGAGATTATAGCGGGTGCTGCTGCGTGATGTGGTGACGCACGCTCATTGCGCCTTTTTGCTGGTAATGCTAAAAACAGAATTTCCCCTCTTCCCCTCGATATGCTCGTTAGTATCGCTGTGTGGTAAATATAAGTAGCTTGCCGCTTGAATGGTTAAAGAGGTGCTCCAGTGTGGCTCAGTGATTAACGCCTCAAGTTCATAGTGCAGAGGTACCGCGTACGGTTCTACGCACCGGAGTGTTTTTTTTTCTGAATTTTTTTTCTTTCTTGCGTTTTCATATATACGTATACATATACGGTGCATGACATCGACGTCAACGCCCGTGGCACAATCCAGCAAAATTAGTCCATATAGTTGCTATAACAATAAAATTATGAACCATCTCCTCGAAGTGAACCACAATAGAATGTGAAGCAGCAGCTATGCGCACGCCGTTGACCAGGCTCAAACGGGCATCGAAGCGGGTGCTGGAAGAACGGCTTGAAGCGAAGCTCGGTGTACACTTAACTCGAGTAAACGTTTCTCTCTAAACATGATGCCTCGTTTCACACTTTTGCAGTACGTGCTCTTGTCAGGCAGCAGAGTTTTGTTAGACCTTCGATTGTAGAACCAGCAAGTGAAAGTGCCAGTCAAATGCAACCTAAAATCTTGAAAATGAATGCCATTGCCTGGTCAATTCATGGGTGATGTTAATACCTTGCCCCACCGAGGAAAAGGTGTTGACAATACCAGTGAGAACACTGGCAAAGTGAATGCTAAAATAACTGTTAAGGTATCTGAATAAATTTACCTACCATTGCATACTGCCTAATAGTATTGTAAGTGCCATTTCATTTTGGGGCAGTGCCATCTGTGTATGCAGGTTTTGCTATCTGCAGTTGTAGCAGCTAAACATTCATTTCATATTGGTACAGAAACCCCGAGTGCTTGAGTGCCGTGCACAACACTGTGCTTTGCATCCGTTGCAAGCACAGTGAAACGCTGACAGATCCAACAACATCTCCCAATGATCTCCAGCTGGCCCTATTGTGTGTGATTTCATCCTATTTTTTCCATGTGAACTATTAATTTCATGACTCCTAACACTCTACCTACTCCAATTGCGTTTCCTCTCCGTTGGTAAGCATTCTGTGGCTGTTACTGTCGGCCAGTTGTCTGCTGTTCTCATTTACGCAGCCAGTCCTGGAATTTTTTTTTGCTTGACATCGACTAGAGTTTCTGGAACTCCTGTTTCTTCTCTTAGCCTATTTCCCACCTTTGAAAGTCTTAATTGTACTCCTATTATTTTGCATTCCATTACAAGCTGCGTGGTCCTCGTATTTTTTGTAGCTGTTTTGTTTTACTCCATGTTTCAGCGCCATGTCCCATATGCAGTGGTTGTATGCTCTCTATTTATTATAGTGACCAATTTTGTGCCATTATTTGTGCAAGTCTGCCGAATACGTACCAGCTGACTAGTATTCCTCGGTGCACTTATTTGTAGTTATTACGTTCTCCCATTCGTGGATGTCCTAGGGGAAGTGTCAATTTTTATGAAAGTGAACATGGGAGAGCGTGGCCTGTGAGCTCCGGCGGCTGCTAGCAGCGCGTTCAAGTGGGAGCGATAGAAACCACAGTCTTTTTTCGCGTCATCTCCCGGTGAGCAACACAACCATGTGTTGCTGATATGAAACCAGCGCCAAGATTGCGACCCCCTCCCTCTTCAAGGTGATTCGCGGGCGCTGGTAGTCACCTTGAACGAGGAGGGGTTGCAAGCCTGCCGTTCTATATCAGCAACGAATGGTTGTTTTCCTCGCCGCGAGATGACGCGAAATGAGACTGATTACTATCGATCCCGCTTGAACGCGCTACAGCAGCCACCGGAGCACGGAGGCCACGCGTAGCCATGTTCCCTTTCATAAAAATGGACAGTGTCCATAGTGTATGTAGAAGAAACCACAGTGACTGTTTTTCGCTATTCAACTATTTGTATTTCTCCAGATAATTATTTATTACCTTTGTCTTCGTCATATTATTATTGAGGTCTGCACTACTGATTTTTTGGTTAATTCCTTATATTTTACCAATGCTTGCTCTCATCACTGAGAAGTACAATGTCGTGTGGAAATCTTAGGTTGCTTACCCCTTGTTGATTATCCTTCTTTCCTGCTTACTCCTGTTCTAGCTGTTTAAATACTTCCTCAAAGCATGCAGTGAACAACAATGGCGATATCGTATCACATAGTGCGACTCTTTTGCTGATCGTGATTTTATCGCTTTTGTTGTGAAGTATCAAGGTAGCTGTGGAGTGTTTGTGGATGTCGCCTAAGGTACTGTCAAAGAATTAAGGTATTGCTTATTGGTTTGGGACTTTATAAACTACAGATATTTCTCCTTAGTCAAATGCATTTTCGTAATCATTGAAAGCTAAATCAAAGGGTTTGCTTCCAGGAGCAGCTTTCTCGCTTACCTTATTTATCACATCAATGTGACTCATTGTAAAGTAGCCTTTCTTAAACTCAGCTTGTTACTTTGGTTAGTTTAATTCAAGTGTTTTTCTTATCCTATCTGAGATTTTTTCTTAATCAAGCTGATGCCCTTACAATTGTTTATGTAGTTAACTCCCTTTTCATGTGTATAAGTATTTCATGCTTTCAGCCCACTGGGTTAGTTGTCATTTCCAGGCACTGAGTCTAAAGCGTAGCTAGTTTGTTCTAAAAATATTATTCATACTCTATCTTTATTTGCATCGAAAGTTTTACAGCAGGTGCAGGTGTGAAGCAAATAAAACTCGTCATCAAGAGAGATAACGGAAAATGATAAAAAAACAGATTAAAAATGAGAGAAAAATAATTAGAGAAATCAAACGGTAAAAGAAAAAACAACACAAAAATGAAAAAAACAGACAGGGAAAAAACAACACAAAGAAAGAGGTAGAAAAAATAGTGAGGGGTAAATGCATCAAACATACAATAATAATTATTGGGGTGTAGCGTCCCAAAACCACTGCGTGATTATATGGAATGCTGTAGGGGAGGGCTTCGAATATTTCGACCGGATTTTTAACGTGCGCCTAAACGAAAGCACACGGGTCTCAAGCATTTTCACCTCCATCAGAAATGTGGCTGGCGCGGCAGGTATTCAATCCATCCCCCTACCAGTCAGCAGCCGAGGGCCTTAGCCATTAGACCACCATGGCGGGTCATCAAAAAATTCAGAGACACAGAAACACGTGGTTAAGAGAATAAAGAAACCCACAAAAAGGGCGAAAAACATAAAAAAACATGAAGAGAAAAGAAAAAAGAAAACTGAAAATAAAGGGAAAGAAACTGGGAACAGCAGGGAAAGGCAGAGAAAGTGATACAAGCGAATAAAGAAAGACAACGAAGGGTGTAGAGGTACTGAAAAATACTCAAAATTACAGAAAAAGAAGAACACAAAGGGACAAAAATTGAATAAAAAGCAGACACGAAAAAGTATGAAAAACAGAAAGCAGGAGCAGAGCAAAAAGGTAGACAAAGTAAAATGGAAGAAAATCAGAGAAAAAGTAAAGACAATGAAGTAATGATACATAGGGCGAGAAAAATAAAATCAGAGAAGAAATGGAAGAAAAGAAAACAGGTCCACAAAAATTTGCCACCTGCAATTTGCAAAGTGCCGTTTGGAAGAGAACAAACAAAGCAAATAAATTAAAAAGAAGGCTTCCCACCTGCAGTCTTTCTTCAGTTTAAGCAGCACAAGCACGAAGCTTCCATTATTGTCGAGCTATGGACGCCAGACAGCGAGGGTATCATTAACATTTCCATTCTATGTGTTAGTGAAGTGCAGAAGTCGAAAAAATTTGCTGCATGGCATAAAAGCTATCACATTGTTTTTTTTCTATTCAGTGTTTGACGTGACGACAAATACACATCACCTGCTGTGCAGTCCGCACTACTGTGTGCCAAAGGTTGTGAGTGGCACTTGGTCGGAGGTCCGGGAGATGTGCACCAACACGGGTGGCTACCTCACCAGTAATGGAAGTGGAAGTGAGTGACATTACTGCTCTCTTTCTATAATACCCAACTCGAAAACCCCTGCCCTGTGTCTCCTGCAAAACATGCCTCATCAATTTTTTATTGGCGTAATGCAACGAGATGTTGGCGCACAAATTTGCCCGGCTATCCCAAATAATTTAGGGCAATGCAGCATGTGGAGTTCAAATCTCTCTGGGTAAGAAGTACACTGCACTGCATTAAAAAGTTTAGATGATTATTATGCCCGCTTTTAATGTGCTGTGAATTGATTGAAGACTACTTTCATGTGGACAAATGCAGACAGCATTAGCACGCAGTCAGAAACGCAAATCAAGTGGCAGTCTTCTTGGTAAATCAGCCGTCACCCAGTTGAATAGAGAAGGGCAAAGCACACTTTCCTCGGGCACTTCCTGCTTGACATCGTGTTCAATACTTTTTCATTCACTCGTTTGCACGAATTTTTTTCGACCTCAAAAAAACTGAGACATTCATCGCAAGAAAACGCCAGAAATTCCGAATTTCAACATGTTTGTTATAACATATGCGTGACTGACGGTATCGAATGCCTTTTTTATGTTCAAAAATACTGAAATTGCCACGTTACCGCAAGCGCGTTGGTATTCCACATATTTTGCTACATCTAGTACAGCAGCTCCCACCACAGTGACTAAATGGCTCTACTTTTAAATACTTGCAGTCCTTTCCTTCTCTCCTCGCCTGGTTAACCTCCCTGCTACTTCCCTTCTATCTTTCTCTCTCACTCTCTCAGTTTTTCAAAACTTGTTCAAGTAGTTCAAGAACACATTGGTTTTGTTGCACCACCGCTCAAGCCGCGCGTCACTCATCTTATCCACCCCGGCCGTGGTGGTATAGTGGCTAAGGTACTTGGCTGCTGACCCGCAGGTTGCGGGATTGAATCGTGGCTGTGGCAGCTGCATTTCGATGACGGCGAAAATCGTGTAGGTCCGTGTGCTCAGATTAGGGTGCACGTTAGAGAACCCCAGGTGGCCGAAATTTCCGGAGCCCTCAACTACGGCGTCTCTAATACTCATATGGTGGTTTTGGGTTTTGGGTGATTCATATCAACTCATCTTATTCATTGCTTTGCACAATCAACCTTTAAGCTGACCAGACGAAAAGAATCGAATGGGCGGCTTTTAAGGTTTTAAAGTATAAATACCTCGACAGACTATTCAAGGTGGCGGTACTACTTATTCTATGCATAGATGATTATGGATGTCTAAAAGAGCTTTCGTGCATCTTAGCCCGACGTTTATTACCATAATCTAAGTAATGCCATCAATCAGTGCAGCCGAATTTTGATAACATGAAGCAATTGCACATTGCTGCTCGCTTATTGTGAATGCGCAGTCCAGTTGAGGATGTTGTTCCTAACAACACGCGTTAATGTTCTGCTTTGCTGTTGCAACAGAAATATTAAATGCTGCACATTCCTATATAGAACTATGTCTGCAATCGAGCTCAAAAGATTCAACTGCCACTACTATTTCCCGTGTGTCCATAGCCATAGCGAGCGCACGAAATAAAAAAAAAGTCAGTGTTACAGGACCATTGAAAGCTCGAATTATCAACCACAATCTTGGAACAAGTTTGTGAAGAGAGAGAGTGCTACAGAAACCACATCAGCGTCGTTTTCCCAATAATGCTACGCATCTGTGAATAACATTGTGTATTTTTAGTGTTTGTGTATGCTTCTAAGGTACCGCTAGGTCAGTAGGCTTTTTAAAACTCGCATGCGATGACTCAGAGGCGTTCATGTTTTCCGTCAACTGAAGCGTAATCTTTCGAGATTAGAACTTCTTTTGTACACACGTTCACACCATCCTGCCATTGTTCACACGCAACTGTTGAAGAATGCCACGTTGTACGCTTTTCTCTTTGCATCTCTTTTGGTTTTGCTTTGTTTTGAAGCTCCTTTGGTCTCTCTGTGTGCATCTTTTTTTTTCACTGCGGAAATTTTGATTTTCCGGAACGCACTGACGTCGCGTAATACACGACTTCTACCGCTTCACCTCCAAGAAAATACGACCACTCACTGCGGCTAGGATCGAACCCACAACCTCTGGGTCGGCAGCCGAGCAACGTAGCCAGTATTCTACTGAGGTGGATAGTCTGCACAACCAGATGTGCATTATCGAAGGAATAAGCGTGAACACGGCAAATGTACAAAAGAAGGACACTGTAGGAGAACATTATGGTGTTTTCTCAATCACTTCAACACTGATAGTACAGATTTTTCTAAACATGTACTATCAGTGTCAAATGAAACCCAAACAGCGGCAAGCCTTGGCGATGGCATATTACAGGCCGTCGACTTGTCAGTACGAACAGGCACGCATATATGCGCAAAGATGCTGAACAGAATGCCCGCGCCTCTCAATGGTGATAGTTGCTCGATTGATTGATTTGTGGGGTTTAACTTCTCAAAACCACCATATGATTATGAGAGACGCCGTAGTGGAGGGCTCCGGAAATTTCGACCACCTGGGGTCCTTTAACGTGCACTCAAATCTGAGTACACGGGCCTACAACATTTCCGCCTCCATCGGAATTGCAGCCACCACAGTCGGGATTTGATCCCGCTACCTGCGGGTCAGCAGCCGAGTACCTTAGCCACTAGACAACCGTGGCAGGGCAATGGTGATAACTGGACGGGGAGCGCACAACGCCATCAAAAAATACAGGCCGCTGTTCGGGTTTCATTTGACGCTGATGTTACCGTTTCCAACTTGTCCACTTTTATGTAACTAAATGGACATACCAAGACTAAGAAATAATATATTGGTCAGGCGGCCACTGTGTAACGGCTGTAACACTTAGTAAGGTTACACAAGTAGCCGGAGGGGCGCTGGCATGGAGGGACAGGAGAGTTGGCATGACACCACGGCTTCGTGACAAATTGCAACTAATTGTGTGTCTTCAGCTTGTTTCCTTGTAGGATTTTTTGTATGGTCTCTAGAAACGTCAGTGCTGACAGTGGACACCACGTCTGCTAAGGTTGGCCACTTTGTGAGCTTTCTTCGGTCACTTGATGCTTTCGCCGTGCCTCCGCGAAGCCAAGCCTAGCAGAGTTAAGGGCCGCGCAGGCCCTGCCCTGGGCTTTGCTGCTTGTGGCGGCTCCAAACCAAGTAATCGGATACGATCTGGAGTCTTTACAAATCATAAGCATGGACACCACTCAAAACGAGGCACTTCTACACATCGAGAAAGAATACCTCCAGTATAAGATCAGCATCTGGCGCAGAAAGAGTACCGTCGAGAGACGCCGGGGCTATTGCAGCCAAGTAACTCGCAGCGTCCCTCTCTGAGCCTGCCCACAGACATAATGCGCCAAGCGTCGCCTCAATTCATCTCAAGCAATTCAAGTGGTGGCTGCGGAACACGCCACGCGTTAAAAACGACGACATTAAGGTGGTGCTGAAACCGCGAGAGACACTCGACCTTAAGGCAAATTTTGGTCCTAGACAAGCTGGCGCTGTAGTGCGCAGCACCATCGGGGCCGACGCAAGTGTGGGGCTTGCAGTATCGCCCATCTGTGGTCAAAACGTGCTGGTGTGCACGCTAAAATCACTGGAGGCACCGAGAAACTATTCCGGGATGTTGCGCTACCGGTCGGAGACTGCCAGCTACCATTTGATATGTGGGGTTTAACATCCCAAAACCACCATATGATTATAAGAGACGCCGTAGTAGAGGGCTCAGGAAATTTCGACCACCTGGGGTTCTTTGCGGTGCTCTCAAGTCTGAGCACACGAACCTACAACATCTCCGCCTCCATCGGAAATGCAGCAGCCTCAGCCGGGATTTGATCCCGTGACCTGCGGGTCAGCAGCCGAGTACCTTAGCCACTAGACAACTGCGGCGGGGCTGCCAGCTACCATTTCGAGGACATCCCAAACTCTCCGGTGAGTTTTGTCGGGGCATCGTGCACATTTCTCAAAAGGAAATGTCCGAAACTGTGCGAAATAAATTGAGTGCTGAATGTATGTGCGCAAGCTGAGGGCCACTGCCATTGAAGTGCTAATCTTTGCGGGAACCAAGAGGTCAGAGATAGTTTTATACAGCTGCGAGAGACTCCCTGTTCGCCTGTACAAGAAGACAGTGCCTGCATGCCCCTTCTGAGGAGCAGTGTGCCATCAAGCAGACACTGGCCAACGACTACAGCCTGGGCGCTGCTCAAGCTGTAGAGTGGAGGTACCTGCTGCTACTCCTGATGGCCTAACAGAACACCAATGCATCCCTAGCGACTATCTTTGTGGCGGTGGCCACCAGACTAGAGCTACTGGGTGTGCTGGGTGGTTCTGAAAACCGATCAAGTCGGGGTACCCTTGTGGCTCTAAGTCGAAGACAGTGGAAAGAAAAAACAGTAGCTCCTGCACCCAAGACCAGCCCCAAGATAGCTGGTAAGCCAAAACCGAAGAAACCCCAAGCTGTGTGCTTTACCCATGTAAAGTCTGCCACCCAATCGAGGCCCCCTGTACCAAACGTCGGGGACTTCCCACCCTTGACACCCACCGAACCACAGGTGGGCAGTTTGGTTTTGGCCATCTCCAGACTCTCTCTCTTTTACTCCTTACCAAGACCGTTCCACAGCAGCAAGTAGAGGAGCTCAGGCACCAGAACCAAATTCTTGCATGCTAAAAACATGAATGAGAAGCCCAGCAGGCTCGGTCATCAAATCCAGTGCAGGGAGCCGATGTCGAAGACAGGGAAGACGGATCATCCGCAACATCTTGCCTTACTAGCGTCTCGTGGTACGATAGTTGCATCACTTTCCACTGCCGGGCACAGCAGTCACCACGAGTCTCTGTAGCGTAAAAGAGAGCAATTGGAGGATCGAGTGATAGCCCTCCCCAATCAAATTATGTGGGGAGTCTTCGAGACCCTTTCAGGTCATATTCATGACAGCATTAAGGGAACCCCTTCCTGAGATAGTGGCCCAGGTCTCTGACTCAGTCCTTAAAGCAGTGCAGCCCTGGATTAGCACCCAA